GTTTATCTATGTTTATCTTTATTGTTTGTCATTTTGATAAAATAATTGCTAATTATTATAAGTATGGGTACGAGTGTTCTTTAAAAACATAAAAAGGAAAAAACAAGGAAAAATTAAAATATAAAAATCTAAAAATGTAAAGTTTAACTGAAATCTGTTTTTTATTGGTTTTTTATATATTAGTATGGTTATGGATTTTTTAGTAAACAAAAAAAGGAAAAACAACAAAAAAACTTAAAAATCTAAAAATCTAAAAAACAAAAGGTGAAGTAACATTGTTTTTGAAACTACTTCTTATATATATGTATATTTTCTAAAATTGTTCGTCAAATGATTTTGGTCAATTTATTATTTGAAATCTATTGTTTATAACTTGTTCATATAGATCTGGTGTTTACAGACTGATTCTTTCTATCTTCATATTGTTTCTTTTCTTTTGTCAAATTTAAAAATTTTAAAAATTTAAACCAAAACCCTTTTTAACTTATAGTCCCGAAATGCAATTTAATTTCGAGTACTTATTCACAAATTGTTAAAATAAATTAATTTGTTAAATAAAAATTATTTTCATTTCATTATTTGCAAAACTTATTTTTTCAGAAACATGAACCCAATTTACACCATTTTATGGGCTATAATGGCAACATTTCAGCATATATACAACAGCACCGAGACAGTGGTAAGAAATCTGGGACAAAAACTGATTTCAGTTTGTAATTCTATAAAGCTTTATGTTAAAGAACTATTGGTTGGAAATAAAACTTTTACCATATCATCTGGAACTGATTTTCACACAAACTGGAAAACTTTTAAAACAAACATAGCAAATGAATTGAGTAACTTGAATATTAAAATGCAAACTCTGAAAACTATAAACTAAATAACAGATTTAGTCAAAATATTGACAAGATTACAAAGAAAATTGAATATCAAATATGGGGCAATATTAAATGTATAATGAGCGAGCTGGCTACAAAAGAAATGGAAAATATTATTAAAAACTTGAAAAGCGGTAATTTTTTCAATCTTTCGAGTGATACTATGAAAACAGAACTGGCCGAATATATTAAGTTGGGTAAAAAATTTACACCCTACTGTAAAGTCAATATTAAACACGAATTGGAATTATTTGAACAAGAGATAACTAAGATTGTAAATCAGCTGGTGTGGAAAGAATCCCAATATATTAAGACCAAGAATATTTTTGTCAGGTTCAGACTACTTCAAAAAACCAGTTGTGTGAAAAATAACCCAGAGATTAGTTTGCTGTTAACCTCAATTCTAAAAAATTATAAAAAAGAAAGAATCCTTTTTAAAATGCAGTTAAGAAACAAAAACTACGGTAATCTTTCGACAAAAAAGGAAATTGAAGAGTTAGTTAAACCAAATTCTGACCAAATTTTGGTGGCAGCAGACAAAAATGTGGGCTATGTCTGTATGGATAAAACTGATCTTTTAGAACAATATGATAAAATAAATATTAAACAGCATTTTGGTAAAGCTCAAATAACTGAAGACTGGTACTTGAGAAACATAACGCAATATCTACAACAAGCCTCCGAAAACATCCCAGATGAGTTAGCAAATATAATATCATGCACGGATTTTAAATGGACGGATAAAAAATCTGAAATTGGCACTTTAAGATTAATGCCTAAAATACTGAAATTAAAAGTAATATCGAAAGAAAACGTGAAAAACCTAAATTGCAGAGGCATTAAAAGCTCAATGCACGATCCCTTAAAAATGGTTCAAAAAGCATTAGACAAAATATACAGTCACTTACTATATTTTATAGAAAACGAGTTCTGGAGACTGTATGGACGACTATCACCCTCAGTAACAGGAATTGATGAAGCAATAGAAAGAATTAAAAAAACACACACAGGTAACTGGGGCGAATCATTAGAACTAGAAGGTGATTTTGGGGACTTATATTCAAATTGCAACAAAGAGTTATTGGAAAAATGTTTAAAACATAGCTGCCAATTAGCTAAACTTTCAAATGAATCAATAGAATATATTATAAACTTAATGTCAGTATCAATGAACCATTCCTACTTTAAAGAACCAAAGGGAATTTATAAAACACTAAACGGATTTTCGATGGGAGACAACTCTGCTGCGAGAGGCAGCGAAATAATCCTTAGAATTTTCGAATTAAAGATATTGAAAAAACTACAAGAACACAAACTACATAAAAATGTAAACAGATATTTGAGATTTCGTGACGATGTATCATTACACATCACAGGAAACACAGAAACAATGTTAAAAATTGTTAAAATTATAACAACAGGTTATCCAGATGCTATACAATTCAACGTCGAAACTAAGATTATATATGGGAAGTTTTTAAATATTAAGATTTTCAACAATCCTACAACTCCAAAACCAGTAACAACAGTTCTAAGAAAATCCAACTCTAAATATGATATCATTCCTTTTAACTCTAATATAAGCCCAAAATACAAGAAAATGGCCGGATTGTGTTATTTCAAAACAAACAAGACACATACAACATCTCAAGAAGAACTAAGTCGACAAAATGAAATAGTTACTGCTATTCTAAAAGAAAAAGGTTTTCCTATACACTTCATTAAAAAACTTGCAAAAACACCAAACAACAAAGAAATAAAAGAGAAAAAGAAGTTTTCAGGAGTTACAGTTTTTGACAGCATCAGTTTGAGACATAAATTTGTGAAAAACGTGATAAACCATTCAACAATAAACAAAGAAGTTTATTACCTACCAACAGAAATCCCAGGAACAAAATTAGAACAATTTATCTTCACAATTAAGAAAATGAAAACCCAACTGGGTTTTTAAATCTATCCACAAAATAAACAAACTAGGTCTATGAAATTAACATAAACATTACAACGGGTTTTTCCGGGTTTTTCTTCAAATGGAAATAAGCAACAAAGGAAAATTGGTCCCCGAAGCATGGGTCCGGTGTTCGTGGAGCACCGGACCCATGTAGGGGTTTCCCGTTAAAACGGGAAAACCAATCCGACAATGGCCTGTGCTCCATTGCATTGGCACACATGAAAAGACCAATGTTCCTTTCGAGCTTTCCTTTAGTTTTATTTTATTACCTCTATCCTTCCCTCCCTCTTGTCTCCGGTTTTCATTTAAAGGACTGAACCAAATCAAGTTGCCTTTGTAAAATTATTTTTATTTTAACGTAAATATAAACTATTGCAGAGAAAGATACAGTCGTCAGTAAATTACTTCAGACCAAAACATTTGTCAAAATTAAACATTAAATTGAAATCTGTGTCACTTATTTCTTAATTGTAAAACTGATAAATCGCAGGATAAAATTGATATAATATATAGATATTTTACAATACATGCATATATACGTATTTACAGGGGGGGGGACAATGCCTCACGGGGGCTGAGTTATTCATTTTCAAAAACATCTTTTACTATCTCTAATAAGAAACAACAATGCCCATGGAAAAAATATAATGATGGTTTTCCAGGGTAATTAAACTATATATATATATATGTGTGTGTGCCTTTATTAAGTGTCTAAAGTGTCTAATATATAAACAAAATGTTATGTATAAACCAGTATAAACGGTAGACTCGAGGGGCAATTTATTTTGGCGCCCCTCCCCTTTGAGCTTCTATAGGAAAGGGGGGGGGGAAATAAATTGCACCTTATATAAATGCCCCCACTCCTCCTCCTCTAGATTTTTCTCTGTATAAGCCCTTGGAAAGCCAATATTTTTATTTTAGACTTAAAAAAGGAATCCTATAGCTATAAATTTGAAGAAAAAAGTCCTTTCAGTATTTAAACTTATCCTAGCTTTGTAGGATGGAGGGGGGATCAGACTGAAATAGAAATCCAGAAAAAAATGAAGATTAATAAAAATTGAAATTGAAATTCCAGGTCGTAAATACTCCTTGGCATTTCGGTTCTACGTTTTTTAGGTTCAGGTCCTTTTTTAATCGTAAACAATAAATAATGAGATTTGTCTAGCGTGTTACTGTTTTCCGTCAACAATACTATAACCCAGGGAATAGGAATAAAGGGAAAGGAAATGGCACTGGTCTGGCATGAGAAAACCAGTCGCACTGCTTTGCAGACAAGTTCGGTAAACCTTACACACACTCTTTTGGTCCAGACACACAACATGACTACAGTCAAGGAAATTGCAGAACTTTGTCGTCAATTATAATTAAACTTGAATAACGAGTAGTTTATTGTAAACTTTAATCAAATTATATTCTTTGCATGAAAATTTGGCTTTATGGTGCTGACTTTAATATGTAATTAATATAATACATGCATATTAAACTTATTTTTAAGTAAACAATTAACAATAAACAAATGTACTCTCCTAGACTGTACAAATACCGAGATTCTTACGTACTGTATAAACCTACAGTACACATCTTTGGTTCGGTACACTTTACACACGCTCTTTTGGTACAGACACCCACACATGACGTTTCCTCCCCCTGCTATAACCTCGTTGGAACCAACAAAGCAAGTTTTCCAATATGTTGAATTCTTGAATAACAAATTTTATTAATTAATGATTGAATTTTCTCAATCTTATTCATATATCGATGACAATTATCATGGAATGTTTTATTTCTTAAATGTTTCCATATTTTTAACTGCTGTTAAGGTTTAAATATGATTAATTTCTTCTTTTAGAAGGAAACGGATTATTTGAAATATAAATAATTTATTCCAATCAAACATATTGTACTAAATATTATTTTGATTGATAAACTCCCATCCTTTCCCCCCTCAATGATATTGATAGTTTAATACGATGATATATCAAATGCTGTATATAGTTGATTAATCTATATAAATAAGTTCTCGTGTTTCAACAGTCAGGGGGTTAAAGTATCCTATGTTTATATAGATATGATAGGTTTCCTTACACTGTTATAGTATATTTGCAGTTCCACTCTTACTAGATAGATCCAGGTGTCAGTAATCAATCTTTTATCCAGATAAACAATGAATAATCAATTATTTTCGTGTATTTCATTAAAGAGGATTTTTAAATTATTAAAAGGATTGATCTGAAATATAGATTTATAATTGCTGGTGACTCATTCAGTCTCGTTTACAAAATAACCTCCACTATCAAATTCGTGACTGGGGGGAATGATTCATATACATTTTCATTATTCAATTCTGCAACATCGCTTGCTTTTCTTGTATGTCCGGTCCTGCTGGAGTAGAGATATGTTCCTCTAGGTTCTTCTGTGATCTTCTCTCTTCTTGGCATCTATCATCAATACCTGTTTCAGACTCAGGAGCGTTTACGCTAAACGCTGTTTCCTGGTTCTTCTGTTTCTCAGCTCTAAGGTTGGATATCTTGATCTCGATCTTGTCAAGATCTCCCTTTATGTCAGGCCGAGGATGGTTTAAAGGTGAGAACTCAACATGCTTCAGAAACTTATCCGTCCTTTCCTCGTATTCTTGCAGAATATCAACCCTCCTGGAAAATATAAGTTCTCTTATTCAAAAAAAGCCATTAAACTAAGTACAGGGTGTCTAACGAAACTTGACAGTTGAAAGACAACTTGAAGATCATCTTTGATATAATTTGCGTCATTCATTTGTCAAAAGTACCCCTACGCCTGGCGTTTCCAAATTGTGGTCTGCATATTTTTTTTCCCTTAGAAAAACCGTTTAGATTAAGAAAATTTATGTATTCTTTAATGAAGATCAAGACGATCTGCAAGTCGTTTCTCATGTTAAGATATTCTCAACATTCCTATTTGGAAGATGGAGAATTACTTCTCAAGTATCAAGTAAGTACCAAGTAGGTTAGCACTTATACAACTAATTGATTGTTAAGAATGTTCACAGGAAGGGGGGTGGGGGGAGGTCCCCTTGATCAGTGAAATCTTTGATTTTAAAAACCCAACGAGTGATGGCTGCTAAGCCCCCTTGAAAAATAAAAGACAGGCTAGAAATTAGACATTTTAATATCTTTTGATTTATTCTGGAGAAACTGAACCACACTGTGTAACGTCACGATAGAGAAAGGCTTCTGGTAATGGAGGCCAACATTGTAACGTACAGGGTTACCCAGAAAGGATGAGACTGTAAAGACGACGACCCAAAATTCTAAAAATATGACGATTTAAAGCTTGGAATTTTGGTTTCGGCATTCAATTAATTTAATGGTTTACTATATGATTAAGCACAGAAATAAACAAGTTTTGGCCTACAAGATACCCTAGATGAAAAAAAACGGACTTAACACATTATGTAATCGTTTCTGATAAACCTGTTTATTTACCTATTCTCTAGAAGCTGAATACATTTAACATGTTCTCTAGCTAGCTCCTGAACCTCCTCTCCTTTCTCCTTGGCGGAGTTAAATATCGCCTGAAGAGATTCAACCCGTCCGTTCCTCGCGCTAATTTAACACGTGTCTTTTAACCGACTTACTTTTGGGTATTACTCTAATTCCTCTAATTCATGTTGTTTCGCTTTAAGGAGCGGAAAACCTTGATTTTATTTTTTTCTCTCGAATATGAGTTGGTCTTCTCAAAAAATTCATTTTTTAAGACTGAATTTTTTGGGCATATATTATATTTTAGGTATTGGTATAAAACTTGATAATTTTAGCTTTTGGCGGGTCATTTCGAAACCTTAAATATGCTTTTTTCATGGGATTAGACAAGGAAAATTAATTTTAACTTTATATAATAAGTTTAATCATTTTTTTCTTTAAGTAAAATTAAAAAATCTATTGGATGATAATTTTTCCGTTATCCAATATTTCCATATTTATTGATAATTGAAGATATTAAATTAATTCCTGAGAGCTCGGATCTGTTGATCTAAATCCTCCTGGACCTCAGTTCTAATCCGACTCCGTTCCTATACAAGTTTACATTTTCCAAGTCAAAACATTTCGGACCCCGACTTTATTTATTTTCAGCTGGGTTGCAGAACTACATACTCATGATTAAAATCTTAAATAAAATTAAAGTACAAGATTCATATGAATTTGAACCGGCGGTAAGTAGTTCAACTAGTTCAGCTACCTCTCAAATACATTAAATTAACTCCCTAATTACATAAATTCTCATCAGGTAAAACCCTATCAATTCAGCTAGTCTAGCTATCCCGTACAAGAACAACTCGAAATCTTTATTTGCAGTCTGGCAGTAAATTTTAGAAAACCGTAAAATCCTTAAATTCATGGTTCATAAGCTATAAAGACCTGTCGAACCTATTCCAGAAATTAAGCCTATTATTAGTTCGTGTATTTTTAAGAAAAAGATTTAAACTACATCTTAAAAAGCTAATTTTGATGCAAAACTTGAAATATTCTTTTTAAAAAACTACAAAATGTTGACCACTTACCGACTAGCCTCGCTAAAATTAAAAAAAAGAAAAGAAAAAAGATTTTCTTTTCCGTCTCAAAATACAAGTAATTGTAAAGCTACGACTCATTCAATATTAGGTTGGACATCCGGTACATTACAACTACCTTTATCTAGTCCTTTCATTAAACTCTGTGATATATCAAGACTGGAAAACTGCCTGAACTATTCTCTGAAGATCCATCTTCTCTTGTTTAAGGTTTTGAATATTTCGTTCCATTTTTCTCTTCTTCTCATTCATTCCGTCCAACTGGTTTACAAGTTTATCCACTCCTTCGTCCATCTTTAGTTTTATCTAGATCTTAAATACACATGAAGCAACAAACAATGATAAAGATTATATAATTAGTGCAATTTTATTTATCAAATTTAGTGAGCTCTACAGGTTTAAAATAGATCATTAAAGAATACTGTTGATATGAAAATACTCAAGTAAATAGTTCAATTTACATATAAGACAAATTCCAAGAATGTAGGAAAAAGCAATAATATTTGAATGGGGTTAGATTTAATCTTTCTATAAAATTTTCTATATTATTGTGTATTCTAGATTCCACTCCTCTATAATATCAAATATTTCATTATTTCTAGATCAGACTAAAGGAAAATGTTACAAAATATTGAAGTTTAAATTGATAAGCATTGAGCATAGGAGCATTTGTGACATATAATAATCTAATAACAGTTTCTTATCAATATTAATATTTGAATTCTATAAGGAAAAAGTGCGGATAAAAAGATGTAGTAAGGCAAAAGGGTTATTGAAAAGAGTTAGTGTTCAATATGAACAAACAGCTGATGAGTGGAAAATTTAAACACTTCATTAATAAGAAAAAGTGAAGTCTACTAAGAAAATATAATGTTATGTAAATGTAACATTATAAGAAGATATCTCCATGGGAGATAGTTTGAATATGTAAGGTTGGGAAACTCGATGGTTTCCGGTCAACGAGGTCGGCTGGAAGAAAGCGGAAACATTGGAAAACTTGATGTCAGGAACAGAGGTTGGATCTAAACAATCTGATACAGTTAAAGAGCTCCAGGAACAGTCTGGAGCTAAGCGTCTTAGTATAAGGAGAGCGTGAGACGGGTTGGAAGCATCTTTAGGACTCCAGGTCCTTAAGTTCACCAGATCATAGTCACATGGGAGAGCAGAGTTTATAAGTCCTAAACAACAGATAAAAGTTTAACAGAATAAAAAGAAGGGTATTCAATTTTTTTAAATCTTACCACGTTTATTCACAAGCTTTTGGTTCTTTTCTATTCCAATAAAAGATGTGAGGGGGTGTTCTAGATATCGGCTGAGCCGCAGAGCTAGAGGAGATAAAAACGGGATAGTTTCCGAGTTCTTTTCACTCTTCGGAGAAATAGGTTCCATGAGTAGAGTGTATCTATGAAGAGTTCTCCTACTGTCCAGTACTCCTTCACCCATACCACGGGCATCATCATTCATGGTTCGTTTATCCACCATTATCTCGAGCAAACCCTCTCCCCGGGAGGAAACTCCGCTAGCATGATCAATGAGTAGAGTTAGTCTACTCTCATCATCCTCAATATACACGGACTCAGTAACAGGAAAGTAGTTACCTGCAATAGGACAAAATTACATCATTAATATTAATCTTCAGAGATCTTTATGTTTTCTTGAAAACTATATTCCTTATTTAAAATTTATAGGTTGAAAAGCGCCGAGTGCAAAAAATGGGTTAAAAGTTTCATTTAACTACAAAACTTAAATATTAATCATGATAAGCTGCTTGACATTGATCAGAAATTACCTTCTAATCCCGCCTGCTCAGCGTTAACTCGTCTAACCATCCCTAACCCGGCCTGGTCTGTAAATATCAGATTCTCTTCTCCATTCTTTACGTCGGTCTCAAACCTCATGAAGAACTCCGTATCTCTAAAGTTTGGCGAGGGTCCGAAATCAAACTGGTTTTCAATATGAATAGCTTCACTAAGTGGACCAGTATCATGGTAAAGCCGGACAGTATGTAGAAAGGTTGCAATGCCTCCAACTCCGGTAACCTGCCAAAGAACTTTAAGCTCTGAGAAAATGGGTCCGGAAACTATGATTGTCTCGACTATATTGTTGAGAGAAAAAAGCTTGGTTTCTGTTGGAACCCCGTTTATCATTTCAACAGCAAACAAGTAAGCTCCACTTCTATAGAATTGTGAAGTGTAGGATGAGAAATCAAGATTTATCTGTTTACTTACTCCGTTCACCTTATTGGTTACATTATTCAGAAGTCTAGATTCTGGATCGAAGAGAAGCTTGTAGATTTGATTTTCTAGTTGAATAGCGCCGTCTGGGATAGATTTCAGGTGAAATGATCCATATTTTTCAGAATTTCTGCATTTTTTGCAATAAACCTTGGTAGGTTTCCTAGCCTCTGTACATTCTTTCACAGTATACACAGCTATAGACAGAGCCTCAAGCTCAACACCAAACCAAACATTAAAGGATTGGAAGGATAAGCTTGGTTTCCCCGTGATGTTAAAAACTGGAGATATCTGCGAGTCTACAAGATCCTGCTCCTCATTATAGACACAAAGATTTGCATTGTTAGTTTGTAGATGTCCGGCTCTATACACTGGGTGAGCTAAGGAGTTGAAGAGAACAATCTTATGCTCCTTAGCGGAAGAAATATGTAGAACGGTTTCCTCTTGCCAATTTTCTCCCTTATTTCTCCGGTTAGTATGAAGAAGAGGACGGTTCAGAATTATCTCCTGCTGTCTCTCCTGTATTAGATAATGAACTAGAACAACCTCCATCCCGTTCACGACTTCCAGTGCATTATCCAACTTCTGCTCGTAATCGTCCATAACAAAACCTTTACTAGTTCCGGTGATAGCGTCATGGTGCTGAAATAAGGCAAGAGATCTTCGAGCCGAGACAAGGTTCTTATACATGGATACAAGGGCGCTCAAAGGGAGATCAAAATCACTCCGTCTTGCCATACCCATTGCAATGCTGTAGAGAATTTCAACTCCTCTTAGTTTGGATGACACCTGTCTACTCAAAAGCTTAGTGTATGGTCTAGTAAAGTAATACCCGGACCAATAGGCAGGTCGACCTTCAGAAAAAATATCTGAGTAAACATGAAAGTCTCCGGTCAGAGTTGGAAACTCGTTCATCCTGCTCCGAACCTCAGAAAAGTAGTCTTTTAATGTTCCAAATGATATGTGTGCGTTGTATTTACCGGAGTTAATGTGTTCCATAATCTTGATATAATTAGAATACTGCTGATCAAACTCAAGCTCGTTACTGTACCTAAAATCATCTCCAAGAGGAACTAGAACCACATTATGTGGAAGCAGGCTTCCTGTTCTACCGTACTGTTCTAACAAGAGTTCAGCCCTCTCCTTCAGGTTTCCCTGGTTGATGGGTGAGTAGTGAGCTGTGAACTCGTTGTACTCTCCGTCAAGATGCCGGAAATCGAACCCGAGGCAGGTCTGGGGATTGGGCCCGCAACTATGTTTAATACTGTAGATATCATAGGGGAAGTTGTGACAAAGAGGAGCCGAGTTTCCGTCCTTCTCCCAGGATTGTTTCCACAAGAAATCTCCGTTCTGATGACGAGCCAACCATTCCTTCCACGCATAGTGTATTCTCATTATCACCATGTTATTTATCTCAGATTTAGCAAGGAGGTGAGGGAAAGCTCCACCGTGTCCGAAGCTATCTACTGACCAGCTGGAACTAGGAACTACTCCTAGCTCTCTTCTCATGAACTCATGACCTTCAACCAACTGATCAACCATGGAGAAGAAATCAACATTAGCCTCGTCTGTCATCACCCAACCTCCGGTAGTAATCTCCAACCTGCCAGAGTCCAGAAGGACACGGAGTTTGTTCCTGGCCTCTGTATCAGCCCCTTCCCACCACATAAACATGTAGCTAGCCTCGGACCAGATAAAGGTCATGTTCTTGTGCTCAGTCAGCTTGTTGACGATATTTGTCAGGATTGATTTAGTGGAGAGAGCAAAGTATCCTTCAACTGTCTTTAACCAACCAGGATCATTATGGGAGTGCGGCATAACTATGACCCTGGAAATATTACAAAAAAGTTAAGAATGATTAAAGATTGAAAATTGACATTTTTTTGAGAACGTCTATCCTAAATTAATGTAAAAAATGAACTTCAAAAGGGCGGATTGAAATAGATTTTTAAAAAAACAATAAAAAAATCATTACCTTAAGGGCAGGTGAGCCCACATAGATTTTCTCCGAACATACCGATCCTCATATTCGTTTCCCCAGAACTCTCTTCTCGACATCCAGGACGGAGTTAGATCCAGGGTTGGGAAAACATTACTGGTTTCTATATCCGCGGGGTAGCTCCGTAAGCTAGGACAAGTCTCCTGCTTCTGTGGAGATTGGGTCGAGGTTTCAGTATTCGGAATAATTTCATCCCCTCTCTGAAGCTGTGCTCCGTACATCAGGATAAACAAAACACAAACTAGAAGTTTAACTTTAAAAATTCAATTCTTTGTGAAATAAGAATCAATCACAGACCACTGTGAAGTTTAAGATCATCTTAATAACTATCAATAAACTTCAATTTAAGTCTTTCAATATCTAAAGTGTAAAATTTTGGCAATGGCATTTCCAGAAATATAACTTGGACAAATCTTAAAGTTTCATTTTAAATAAATGCTAATGTATAAAGTAAAATTGTTTTATTTTAAAGTTTGAAAACTAGAAATAATTGTGAAATTAGAATTAATCTTATTAGCTATAAAAAAAACTTGAGTTAATTCTTTATCGAGTCTTTCAATAAATATTCGGAAAAACTCGGCAATAACTTTTCAAGAAACATCAATTACACAAATCTTTTTTCAAAATGTTAATATAGAAAATAAAATTGTTTTATTTTTAAGTATGAAACTTTCCTAAAGATACAAGTATTAACAGCAACAATTTTCTTGGAATCACAGACATTTTAATAATAGATATTTTTAAATATTATCACAGTTAAACTATGTTTGTCAGGTTTGAAGTGGCTCCCGGCCACCCATCCAGGTTCACATTGCTCCTAGTTCTCCGTACTCAGCTCCTTGCTGGAGAACCTAAAAGCTTCTATCTGTCATTCTATCTGCAATAAATAATCTGCAGAAATATTCTCAGAGTTTGGTCAAACGTATAAACCTGTCTTTATCCAGGAAATCTTTGTAAACTTGTTTCAGAATGAATTTATGAGGTAAAGAATCTAGGTGGTCTGGGAGTAAGGACGAATGACAGGGATCTATCTCCAGGTACACTTCTCCACCCATGGGCAGAACCTGTCCGGCAACCTTAAGGATGGAAAGAATTACATCTAAACCTTCTGCTCCTCCATCCAGAGCTCTCAGGTCTTCGTATAAACTGATCTCAGGCTCCAGGTTCCTCATATCTTTCCTCAGTACATAGGGAGGGTTGGAGACAACAAGGTCGAATTTCTCCTCTATTACTGTTTCATCATCCACTCTCATCTCAACAACGTTCAATCTAAACACATTTACAATTATTCTGTGTTCATGTTCAAGTTTTTAATCCAGAAAATTTAACGACAAACCGTTCACAAAAACAGGAATATAATTTACGAGTCAATATTATTGTGAACAAAGGTGTCAAGTTCTCTTATCAGGCTTCTTATTCTTATTTCTCCAACAAGAAACTAACTTTTAACAAGAACTGAAGTAAAACCCGAGAAGAAGCCCTTTATATTCTATAATATATTTCTTAAAGACAAAAAAGAAATTATGACAATAAAAAAGTTAATAATTCTCCACCTACTATCAAGTCCAAGATTTACCGCATTTTCCCTGGTCAGCTCGGCCGCTAAACGCGAACGTTCTAAATATTAATCTAATTAAAGAACTGAATACGACTTAAACAAACTTAAACCGTTCTTAAAGTCTTTGTCTTAGTTCAAACCATAGGAAAGCAACAATATGACGGATAAGGAAAAATAATCAGATGTAATGATTCATTTAATATTGATGTAGATCCGAATCCTTGATGTTTTTCTTTTATTTTACATTGGTTATTTGCTTAACCGTGATTAAAAATCAAAAAAATAGGAGGGTTTACCAATCTCTCGTTAGTCAATACAGATTTGTACTTAGACCTCAAGAACCCACCAGAAAAAAAATGATGTTGGAAGGGGGAGGTGGCAATAATTTTGCGTATGATGAATTTAGAGATTGATTTTTCAGCTTAAAAACGACCTAATTGTAAAAAATCCACCAATATGATTTTGTTAGTCTAGAGGATATCGACTTAAGTGTAAATATTATTTCATTACTGTTGCAATACGTTTGCGTTCGAGCGTGAAACAATGTGTGTAATTTAACATTACTTTCACTCTTTGGCCCTATAATAATTTACGGGCTTACATGCACTGCATGAGATATCCAGAAAAGCACTTGAAGATGATAATATATTCTTCTCCTGAACCTTTAATAATTTAACACATTAGGTTTAATACTAAGGAACCAAACAAATGATTGATAAAATAAATTATATAATTAAAAAATGTTAGGCTGGCATATTGAAAATTTGATCACTAGTATGCAGAACCTGACGGTAGAAAAGCGAGACAAGAATTAGTGTGTAAAGATACGAACCTAGAGCAGTGACTGTAAGATTGTTTCTCTCCTTGAGCAATGATAAGCAGATGTTTCCACTACCTGGTCCTATTTCAAGGATCCTAAACAGTCGGTCATAGTATTATGTGAAAGGATTCTGCGAAAATGATTGAGCTGAAAAAAATTCAATTATTTATTCAGAAAAATTATTTATGAGAAACAACCAATCTAATCTATAAAATACTTTGCTCGTATATCTCTTTGTTTCTAATAGACGTCAAAACGAATGAACCGATCGGGTTCAATTTTTTTGTGGCAATTAATATGACCGGTTAATAAACGGTCAAATAAAAAATATCAACATTTATTATTTTTGAAAATGAAACTATTTAACCAGATTTATTTAAAGACTTAAAGATCAATAGCTAAAAGTTGAATTTGTTTGGACTAGAATTTACATATTCAGCTAAACAAAAAAGGATAAGATAAATAAGAGAAACGATCAAATTAAACATGAGGGAGGAGAAATATTTACCTGATATTCTCTTTCTTTGGAAGATTATCCAGAACTATATCAACCAACTGCTCCGTCTCCGTCCTAGGTATGAAGACAGGAGGCCGAACTTTGAGACAGATCTGGCGAAAGTCCCATGTTCCAGCAATATACTGAACAGGTACTCTCGCTAACCGGCAGCTGATCAAACGGTTTAGTTCGACAAGTTCTCCACTTTGTAGCAATCTGTCCTGGTGGTTCAAATATCCCTTAGGATTAGTTTCTCCAAGTACCTGGCTTAACAGGAACTTGCTGGAAACATCAGATTCCGGAATATTTGATTTTTCAAATTTATCTCGAGTCCGTTCGAGAGCGTTACAAATGGACACGGTTTGACTTATTGTAAATATACTACGACTACAACTACGAAGTTTATTGTTAACTATTAAGAGTCCTTGGCGATAGAATCCCATTTTGAATCTATTTGATTAGTGTAGATTAGTCTAGGTATGAGAGCAATCTGATGATCTCGAATAGATCGAACCTTCTTCTCCTCTTTATACAGAACCTCTTGTCTCACAACAGGATCTATATCAATGAATTCCAGTTTCTCGGAGAGTCGGGGTCGAGCTTTCATACGAATATGTCCGGATACAACAGACTTGCAGATAACTACCATGCGATCTGCTTTAGCTTTCTTCGCGTAGCATATAGAGGTGGCAGCTAGATTTAGTATAGGTGAGGTGTACATCTTTCCATTTAGTTCATCATCTGTAAAATAGTTAATTAAGAGTATATTCTAGAACTTTTAAATAATTAATATTTTCTTAGATCTATTCATCACGTGTTGATTAATATGAATGCCCACTAACTGGAGAAAATAAACATGCCGTGAAATGCAAAATGATTGGGACAACTTTTTGGCCGAATAAAACAAATTTTCAGACATATTTACATTAGTATTAATTAGTTTAAATTATAATAACTTAAACATAGGGTATAAAACAGATAGCATAAATTAGAAGAAAGTAAATTATCAGATCTGGTACAGTACGAGATCCTGATCAGTAAGATCATTAAATAATATTTTAGATTAAGATCTATTCTCGAAGACGACCCTGTAGGGTTTAGGGTTCCTGAGCACTGCAGTTCCACCTTCGAACTGTGTTCCCAGATCTCCGTCGTCTCCTTCAACCATGACTAGCTGGTAAGAGGAGAGGATATTGGAGAGAATAAGGAACAGTTCCATATCCGCCAGTTTCATCCCAGGACAAATTCTTGTTCCCAAACCATAGGGCATAAACCCTTCCTTGTTCTCAATCAGTTTTCCGTTTTCTAGAAAGTGTTCAGGATAGAACTTCTCTGGGTGTTTCCAGAACTCGGTACTCTGGTGGCAGGATGTAAAGTTGGCCATGATCAGGGTGTTGGCAGGAAGATGATATCCCTGCAAGGTTGCGTCACAAACAGTCTTATGCATCAGTCCTGTCGGAGCGATATCTGCAAACCGTTGAACTTCCTTCACCATTGACATCGTGTAGGGAAGCTGGTCAGATTTATCCCAAGTCACGTCGACCCCACGCCCACAAACCCGATCCAGCTCCTCCTGGACCTTCTCTTGAACCTCTGGATGACAGGACAAGATCCTCAGCGACCATCTCAGCATCACGGACACGGACTCCGAGCCTATAACAAAGATTTCTCTTATCATTGCCGCCAAACCTTGCTCGGTAAAGTTATCCTCGCCCTTATTAACCTTCTCCAGGTATAGATCCTGTAAGTCTCCTGTCCTGTTTCCCCGATATTCCTGCCTGTGTTCCCGGATCCATTTCTCACTAATTTCATGGAACCTGTTCCTGTAGTAACGACCTTTTTCAATTTTCGTGATAGATTCCGGTAGAATTTTAGTCAGGATCGGTAGGAAAGAGAATATTGCTGCTCGAGACATGAACTGTGTGATCTTATCCACACATTCATAAACAGTTTGAAACTCTTGTTGCTGAGCGTGCAACCTCCTTCCGCAGCATAGGTTCCAAAGGATGTTAATGATGCACACGTTCAGCTTGTAGCTGACAGCGATAGGTTCTGAGAGCTTCTTGGTGAGATCCAACTTGAGGTCAGTCACCTCGTCCATCATAATATCCTGGAAACCTTGACTGCCTGATCTAGAAATATTCTCAAGATAATCAATCAGAAAGTTTCTCTGACTGCTCCAGTGCTTCCCTTCTGTAGTTGTAATCCCCGTCTTTCCTTTCTGAAAGAAGGTTCCACTAAAGTTTCCAGGTCTACCGGAGAACTCAGGACGTTCAAACGCCTCCTTGATTGTTTTCCATCCGTTAAGTACAACTACAGGGGTGCTGCCGATGAAGACGGAAAAAACATCTCCATGACGTTCCTGAAGCTTAGAGAAGGACTTGCTAAGATTCCTCACATCAAGGTAAGGCAGGGAACCCAGGAACGCTAAGCAGGGAGGTCCGGGAGGAAAGTCACGAGGTCGGATAGAAGCCTGTAAATAATTTATAGAATAAATGAAGTGAAGACTATGAAGAAAGCCATCAGCATTTAATAGAAGGATCTTATGATTAAACCATAAAAGAGAGAAAGAGAGATAATTATAGGGAGGGGGGCAATAACTTCGCACGTGAATTTATATTGTTTGTTAAAGGTTATTTACCTTTATGCAATAAATGATAAATATGACCAATAGTGAACTCACCACCAGCCATATCATTTTCTGAAATATAATTGAGTTAATTTCGTGTTCGATTCCTGTAAATACACTCTTTCTCTACACTCCGAAAGCTACTAAAGATAAATATATATCTAAAAAGAAGTATATTACTGACTAATCTGAACGAGACGGCACTTAAGAAATTTCTCCTACCACCAATTTACAAAGAACTTTATATGATTCCAAACAGATGCAATGATTATGACTAATTCTAATTTCTAACTGTCAGTGGAGGTCAACAGTGACACGCTTTCAGATTTGGCACAACGTAATTTCTCTTAGAATAGAAATTTGCTGACAGTCAGACGAGTCAGACTCGTTCCGCCGAACAATTCTCTGAGAACGGGGACGCGCTCTGAAACTATTTATGAGGAAAGCTATCAATGAATCACCATAAAAAGTCGTCCTTCCATGTGTATCTTTTCGACCTACGCATATATCGGCTATACTCCCCTTCTGGTAATGTAACATCGTCCATACGCAACATCCCCCCTACTGAGCTTCTGACCTACTGCAATATCGGACCTATGCCAGCTGTTTTTTTTTCATCATTTGAGGGTTAGGTTGGGTTAAGACAATTTCTGGGCCAAGCGCCGCGGCTAGGATAGGCTACATAGGGCCGGGCGCTGCGGCCACAAGTCCATAGCAACTGTAAAACCACGTGCTAGTAGGTCGGATTCGGCCTAGGTCAGAAGTGGAGTATAGCGGTTTTAGGTCGAAAAATATCCGATATTGCAGTAGATCGAAATGGCCGATTAAACTAACGTTCAATTGCAGATTATTCACAGCTGTTCACTAACCCGTTACCCGTTTTTATTCCATTTGAACGTCTTCGCACAGAAAAAAAATTTAACTATTTAAATGATCTAATTTGTAATAGGCGGCATTATCATAATAGTAAAATTTGTTCACTTTGATCATGCATGTAAGTAGATAAATCTCTGCAGTCGCAGCACTGTTGCAAGGAATATGAACTAATTCTAACGTCTGTCCGCAGCCAGGGGTGGACTAAACCATTCTCAGTGGGGAGACCCCTATTTGCGCACGTAAGCTGACAGAAAAAATATTTCGGGCCCCCCATTAAAATAGAACAAAAGCATATTTCTTATTTGTTTTTAAAAAACCATAAGGTTACAGACTTCATTTTTCTCACTTTGTCTGTGAACTCAAGTTCTCCAACTTTCTATCTATAAACTTTATTTCTCCTACTTTCTATTTGTAAACTCCTGTTTTCCCACTATCTATTAAACTAGTTAAACCCAGTCTTTCAATCTGTAAACTCTAGTTCGTTTACTTTCTATATGTAAAATCTAATTTTATAAACGATGCACTTTGGAGGACAATTTTTTTTCCCGCTAGACGTTTCTTCCTGAAACGTCGAGAGCAGACACCTAGCGGCCAAAAATCGTCTTTTGAAGTCTACACCCCCTTTAATTTTTCGCCACAACTCCCTTTTAATACGATCAAGGATATACATGATAAATCTTAATATTTCATGAAGTAAAAAATAATAATTATTTAAATCCCGACACTACAGGGCAACCTAATTAAAATCATAATCAAATTTAATACAGTAGTTCGTCTGGTTTTTATCATTTTTAGCACAACTTTAACTAGAATGTAAGTATATTATAATAATAATTCAAATTCATATTACAATAAATTATATATTGTGTCAAATGTTCAGAGGTAAAAAATTGATCGAAAATAACCAACACAGCGTAATTTTTCAAAACTTTTTTTTAAGGGGAAACATTGGCCAAAAATGTAAAATCAACAAGCGTCCATAATTCATGACAAAATTTAATTTTATCTGGATCTATTTTGGTTCTTCTCCCATCATCCAGCCCCTGACTGCCCAACGAAGCTTGTTATGACTGGTTTCTCCAGGAAGGTTTAGTTTATCCCAAACCTTCTTATACTCCTGGTGCAGGTTCACAGGATCAGTTCTACCTCTCCGTCCTATACAAGTAAGAGGTTAAAGAAGGATAACTTAAACTTTGGGGTATATATTTTTAAGAGTTAACACCCCCCCGGAGATGCTTTGGGAAGATAATTTGAAATAGGAAATCAGAAGGCAAGTTCTTACATCATTTCCCAAAAAATCATTTATTTCACCCTAAAAATAATCTTAATTCCCAATTCAGCGAATAAAAATCGGTTTCCCAAAATGGGAAGGGGAGGGATTATTTTGAGAAAATATACACCCCTGCAAACTCTGAAAAAATATTATTTCAAAAGATTTGTAAATAGTTAAACATGAGAAAAAATTAATTGATAAAAACGTTTTTGTCTTAAAAATTAAGTTTAATCAATTCTCAAAGACTGAAATATCAATTGTCTTTAAATTATTAAGATAAAATTAAAATTTTACTGTTCGAACAATGTTTTCATTTTTATTATTATCAAGTTTAGAATTTATTTTCCTCATCCTAAATAATTCCTGAAATAACAAAATTTAAAAAAAGATTAAAAAAGAAACATTTATTTTCTATAAATAATGTCATTTTTTGTCTGGCTACATTTATTCAATAGACGTCAAAACGGCTGAACCGATTGGAGGGTCCAATTTTTTTGTGGCAACTCATATGACACAAGGAAAGATTTATGGACAGAAAAAAATTTTAAAAGTAGACCCAGAAAAAATATCAACATTTATTTTCAGACAGAAAAATCCTAGAAAATTTTATAACTATTAAAAATTGCCACTTAAAGAGCAACATTCAAGTTCGCAAAATTTGTAAGAAAAGGGAGCGCAACGCGCCTTAAAAGCCTTGCATTAAGGTAAAAAGAATATGTATATCTTTAAAAAGTTGGGATAGAAAAGTGTAATATTAAAAAGACGACCTTTCAAGAAACATGTATTTGCGTGACGTGACAATTCCCTATTCCATTCTACAACTTCTCCGTGTCCAAAACACCCCTGAATAAGTACCTGTTGGACCCTGAAGACCTTGAGTTGACCTGCACCTGATAACTCCTGAACCAGGACGCTCCAGGAGGGACGCCGCAAGAGGAAGAGATTTCTCGGAGTTAAATCTTGGGATGAGAACGTCTACGTATAGACTTGATTCTTCTGCTCTAACTCCGGATAAATTACTCGAACTAGACGTGGTTTGGCGGGAGAACTCGGAACTGGAGGATGTTAGTCTTGATGATTCTTCTGTCATTGAAAGTTTAGTTTTTATCTCCGTTAACTCACTTCGTCTTCTCTTCTTCCTTGTTCTCGTCTCTCCATCTTGACTTTTAATTCTAATCTCCTCTCCATCTTGACCTTTCGTCTTAATTTCTTCATTTCTAAGATTAAAAAAATCTTATTTAGAAATTAGAAAGCTGACTTGTTAGATCCAAGGTAAGAATGATGGCAATAAATTCATTTGCTAAAACCCACGGAATTTTAAAATAATTAAAGCATTTGTAAAAAATCTTCTCAAAAAAACTTTCCCCAAATATAATAGAGATACTGGGATTTTCTAAGAGACTTGAACTTGTCTTTATGGAAAAACATTTAAAATAAAAATAAAAAAACCATGTCAATGTAGATAATAGATTTATCCCATTTTATATTCTAATTTAAAAAACTGAACATTAAGAAAATTAAAAAGTCCTTTGATTACGTAAAATATCTTTTGACGAGCATTGTACAGTGTACAGGGTGTAAAGATCTTATAAAAAGGGTGTAATGATTGAACCTACCTAGGTTTAGATCTGCTACAAGGTTCTAAATTCTCTAAGTTCTCTAATTTATTGTCCAATAATTTCTTCTTTTCCTCGTACTTCATTAACCGACGGAGGTCGGCTACGAACGTCTTTAATTTTTCCTCCGGTATATTCTTATATCCCAGATCCGTCAAATGTTTCTTAATATCCTCGTCAGAAAACTTCACAACCATTTTCTCTGAAATTATAAACATTTAAGATTACACTAGGATACCGTATCTATCTCCATATTAAAACACCAAGGTTTAAAATACTTGTATCTGAGAGAGCCGGGAGAATATCTTTAAAACTTGAGGTTCCATCCAGCAGATGGTTTGTTAAAAGAATCCATACTAGATAATCCACGAGCCCGGGCCTCATCGTCATCCTCCATATTCTTAAACGCCATTCCACCTGATGGGGCTTTGGGACTCGACACTTTCTTCACTGATAACGAATAATTTTGTTAAAATAAATCCTAGATTTAGTTTATAAAGCTCTGATTATTAATACATGTTCTAAATATTCCTTCCTTTGCTAATAATTTTTTAATAAAAAATGCCTTATATTTTGTAATTTTACGATAAAGGGTCAACCTATTTTATTTTCTAATAAAAAATTCAGAAATAACATCTTCATTTAACTTTATTGTGGGTGGACCACATCAAAACCAATTTTTTATCTAAAAATAGTTTTCCTTTCACCTTTATCTCCCCCCCCCCCTAGGAGTATCTGTCCCCTTAAACTACTCCTCAGCTAGTAACTGTTGGTATTCCTCCCTTGATATAAGATTATTAGAAAAATTAAAAAAAAACCTTTGTCTCCGGGTTCTTGCTCCGACTTGGCAGGCCAGGTTGGGAACATACTTGGATCAATAGGACGCGGATCCTCGCGAAAGTATTCAGCACGCATCGCGCTCTCACAAGAAGCGCGATTTTTAGGATCGTATGTGAGCAGACTTTTCAGTAAACTTAATCCCTTCTCCGACAACATTTTCTCAGGGAACTAAAATGATATCATTATAATTTTAACCTTTAATAAATCGTTAAATATATATACAAACCTTATCACGAAGATGGGAGATTGGATGATCAACAAACTTCATTTTCTGCACACCAGGGAGCTCCTTGTAACCGGGCCAAACTTTCTCACTTGGAGTTCCCAACAGCTGAATAAATACATTGTTTATATCTAAGCACTACAGACTAAGATAATCCACCTCTCTTCAGCTGGACCAGGCGTACAAGAGAAGTGGTTGAACCACGACTACGTCGTTCAACTACTGCTCACATATTAATTATATCTGGTCCCAACAAATCTTAATTTGATCGAATTGAGAATCAAACCAGTCCGAACTAAACATTATTTCATTAAATTTTGACACTAAAGCTTTTTCATAAGGGCTAAATTTAGATCGGTCTCAGACTTTTCAGTCCTCGAACTAATTATAAAAAAAAATTATAAAGGGGGGCCGCCACGAAACGTATTACTCTCCGGAAATTTTAAACAGTGTTTAAACATATAACATGTCAATATGTGGGAAGATGACCCATAATATAACTGCCAGCTACTAACACGCCGGTCAGAATGCTCGAATATTTTTTTTTTGATCTCAGTAATGAATTCCTCGTGCCAAATTACCTATAAATCGACATAAAACATGTAGAAAATGTACTAAGCTGACCCATAATGTAATGGTTGGCTACTAGCGCGCCGGTCAGAACGCTCCAATGTCTATTTTGACCTCGGAAATGAATTCCTTGTCCCAATTTAGCTATAGTTTGATATATCTCATGTAACTGTTATTCTAACTTAGGCCAAACTTAGCACACAAGTATTCAAAGATATTTTCTTTTATTGCGCGCGCGCGGACATTTAAGCCTTTGGAGGTGAATTTTTTAGCATATTTGTTTCAAGAGTGTCAGGAAAACTTTTCAAGTGCAATTTATGATGTTAACATTGATTTACTGTCAAAAAGCGAGCGCGCGCACTTTTGCTCAGATTCCTTCAAAACCAAAAAATGCATATAATATACATAATTCTGAGTTAGCATGCAAAAAATCAGCTTCTTACGACAATTCTAAATTATGTTTAAACACTGTTTAAAATTTCCGTAGAGTAATACGTTTCGTGGCGGCCCCCCTTTATTTTTATGTTGAAATACATTATTATTTTTATTGTTTTTTTTTTTTACTTTCTCGATAATTTACTTTCCCGAAAAATGATTCTCCCCCCTTCCCCCCTCCACAAAAAAGCTACAATTTGAAAGTAATAAGATTAAAATGAAGCCAAAAAAAACTTATTATAAAGGATATGAAGTATCCAAATATCACGAGAAAACATGAAAAAGTATCAAAATTACCTTAAATATTCTGTTCAGTTCGTCAACTTCAGATTTACCGGGAAACAGAGGTTCCATTAATAAGAGCTCCCCAAAAATGCAACCGATAGACCAAACATCGATGAAGGTTGAGTACTCCTTGATTCCTAGAAGTAGTTCAGGAGCTCGGTACCACAGGGTCACCACAACAGACGTGTACGCCTTGAGCGGAGAACCGTACTCACGGGCCAAACCGAAATCCCCGACTTTCAGGATTCCATTGTGGCTGAGGAGCAGGTTGGAAGCTTTAAGATCTCTGTGTAGGATCCAGTTATCGTGAAGATGGTTAATGGCTCGCAGCAGCTGAATCATTAAACATTTAATCTCTCCACACAGAAACACCTGATTCTTTTTTCTCATCGTCTCCATCAAACCCTTTAGATCATGATGCACAAAGTCCATAACTATAAATATCTGATCCATGTTGGAGCCGACCACTATTTCTCTCACCGTTACAACATTAGGATGCTGGGATATGAGCAGGGTGTTAATTTCTCTCAAAGATGTAATTGGAAAACCTTCCTTCTCTCGTTCCATCTTCAATCTTTTCAGAGCTACGATCTCTTGGGTTCGTTTGTCCCGAGCTCTGTATACAACCCCATAGGTTCCCTCCTCGATCCTGTTCAAACATTTGAACTCGGCCACACTTCGGCAACCGTGAACACTTGGTAGGAAGGGGGGAAGTTCGTCTTTCAACGGAACTGGACTCAATGGAGGAGACTCAAGATGCTGACTACCAGACGGAGAATGAGATCTAGAACCACCAGAATCATTTTTCCTTCTCGGGCTTCTGTCGGAGTCATTCCCACTGACTTCCTTAAGTGGAGTTGGGGACCTTGAGGGGGTTCGATCAGGTGATTGTTCCGCCCACTTTCCACCAATAGGAGGACTCTTCTCTTCAATCTGCATTTTCTCCAGCTCCTCTTTCTCCTCCTCTTCAGGTGCCTCCTCGACTTTTTTGCTCGCAACAACTTCCATTTTCTTCTCGTCCTCTTCATCCTCGACTTCTCCTTCGTCGGAAGACTCCTCGTGCTCCGGAGTTTCCTCCGACTTCTGAGATCCTGTTGTATCATCAGAACCAGCCTCGCTCTCAGATTCATCTCCGCTCTCCTCTTCACTTTCATCACTTCCATCCTCGTCATCCTGGGAGACAGAACAAAAAGTTACTAAGAATGTATTCGACTAAAAAATGTTGTGAAACGTGTTATATATTTATGGTTTCATGAACAAAAATGAAGAAAAGGATCGAACAAATGAAGCAAGTTAAACGAGAGAAAAGAGAAGAAAAACATAAAATTTCTTTAACTGTTCGGATACTGTCTGTTTACTTCATCTAATTCTAATGACCTTTTTAAATTACATCATCATAAAAAGATATCAGCTTGAAGCAAAGTATGTATTAAAAGAAAACCATAAAGGCCAAGTACGAAAAGATTGGTATTTAATATCTAGAAAATATTAAGGACTCCTAACAAGAGTATTACGTCTTCCTTTGGCAAAAAATAAACGGTAATGAAAGCCAAAAAAGGAAGGAAATAAAGTTTTTTATGTGTATTAGTCTAAAAACCTAGTACCTCAGCCTCTTGTTCACTTCCACTTCCCTTAACTGCTTCATCTCCTTCACTTTCCTGACCAGATTCTTCTGTGCTCTCGCTCTTCTTCCTTCTCTTCTTTTTACGGTCTCTACTTCGAGATCGGGAATTCCTAGCAGCCTTCTTTCTTTTTAATACCGCAGTTAATCTTTTCATTTCCTAATAATAATAATAATAGTGTTAACTTGTTAAGGGTTTATACTAAGTTCGTATTTTCCGGACAAAATTATTCTGTGTATTTAGTGACTTAAAATTGATAGAATACAAATAGCTAGATAAAAATAGTTATGTTGAAAATTAAGTAACCAAGAATCTCTGTAAAAATAAGAAGTTTTGTTCAGCAACAATACTAAGGATTCATAAGCCTTGTACTGCAGATGAAGGGACCCAAAGCGCTATAAATTTTATTTATAATATTAAGAGCTTTATACCTTCTCTAATTCTTTTGTTTTCTTCCTCGCTTCAACCTCTTTCCTACTTTCCTCCATATATTTATTAGACCGGATAATTCTGTTCATTCTATCTTCATGTTCTATTCTTCTATCCCGCTCCTCTGCAGTCTCATCCGTCCTCTCCCTGTCATACCTAGTTCTCTCCCCATCCCTGGAGTAGCTCCTGTGCTGACCACCACGGTCGTATCGCTCTCTACTGATCTTATGCCGGAGATCACCTCCGTGATCGTCTGATCTGTCCCTTCTAATATCTCTATCTCGTATTCTGTGTCTGTCTCTATCAACTCTTCTGTCTCGATCGTTGCGTTCACTTTTCTTTCGTTCTCTGTGCTGTCTTTTGTCAATATCTCTTCTGTCGTTGTTTTTCCAATCTTTACTTTTCTTGCTTTTCTTATGTTTGTGTTTAGATTGCCCTGCTGGCTGTGGAGGACGAATATTAGGACCTTCACCCTCACTCTCACCCTCAGACAGGGATATAGTCTCCTCCTCGTCCGACATATTATATCTAAAAAACAACATTGTCAGTGTTAAAAGTTTCACGGTTTGCAAGCGAAATGTCCGAATCCTACAATATGAAACAGATCTCAGTAATTCCAAGGAGAACCAAAAATCTGTAGTTTATACTTCTGAACATTACGCATTATTGGTTTTGTTGTATCTATGTACTTATTAGGCTATTAACTCTCTAAAGAACAGCCAATCAACTCAAAATGTCGCAAATAACCGGTGCAATGCCTTTTTAACCTTACTTGTTTTTGTCTCAAACTTTCTCCAGTTCTTAAATAATACAAGTTCATCTTCTGCAGAGCTTTAATCGCAAATATTTTATCAAATTGTAGTTGCTACAGGTAATTGTGTCGATTTATTAAATTTATTAAATTTATTAAAAATGCATAAATCAGAATGTACATATTGTTGATATATGTATATACAGTTCATTTTTGGTGATATGTACTTTTTAAACAATAAATAGATTTGAATAATTATAATACTTGGTAATTTCCTAATATTAGCTTTTTACACCCCCAACCCCCTCCTCCCCTCCCCCACCTATCAATTTTGTACATGAATCTCATCTATAACATATGAATAAAATAGGTCATGTGGCCGAAGCGCCAGTCCTATCCAAGCCGCAGCGCTCGGCCCCCTAGCCTATCCTAGCCGCAACGCTCGGCCCAGAAATTGTCTTAATCTAACCAAACCTAAAATAATAATAAATAGATAATATTTTTGCTGAAAAATGAAAAATAGGTGGTCATGTACAAAACTGATAAGCGGGGGGAGGGGCTAAAAATCGTATAATAATTTTGCGTGAGGTATATCTGGCGGTCATACTAGCGTCCCCCAAAGTTGGTCAACAACACGACCACCGTTCGTACATTATTAGGGAACTTATAGGCTCAGAATTATATCAACGCAACGACCCAACCCTTGCCTTCTTCAATGCAAGACCTAGGCCCAGATATTTGAACATGGAACATTATAAATATTTTTATATAAAGGCAATGATTCGCATGTTTCAGATATAAACCATCCATTTGGCACCCTTCCAGCAAATATATTTACAAACAATGTCTTGCTTAAAATTAAATAACCTCTAATTCGATCAATATTTGACAAACTTTCAAGTAATCATTAATACTAAATACATATCTTTGAGTTAAAAAATTGTCACTTGTGTTCAAAACGTTACACACTATACACACAGTACAAAGTAAAAAACATAAACTTCTCTCTACGCGGCAATAGTTGTATCCTAGAAACTTGCAGACAATCCAATACAAGTAAATCCTCACGAAGGCTGACAGCAACCTTGACATTTGACAGTGTTTAGTGTTAAGATGAAGAATGATCCTAATTCTTCAGGCCTTCTCTCTCCCGAGGAAACTGCATTGGTTTCTGCTTTGATCGGATCACGGTGTCAATCAATGGCGACAACCGTTGCCCAGGTGGGACGCATTACAATCTAACAATTATTCCAAATTCCATCATCATAGAACATTTTAAATAAATGAATTAGTTGCCAATTTCATCGTTTACTTCATTGTGTGTTAAAGTTAATAATGTTTTTTTTTTGGGACTAAAAAGAAATATTAAGAAGAATATATCGGTTCGTAAAATTGAATAAGGTTTATATAAATTTTTTCTTGCAGAAAATGTTAGGTTTTTTGAGTATTATGGGTTTATTTTGGCATTGAAGCTTGGAGATAGTCTAATATGATATGGGACGCTCTGTATTACATAATATTTGCCAAGATGTTTGATCGTTTTTATAATAGTAAATTAGTCTTCGAGCAGGCCTATTAAGTCACATGCAAATTTAATTAAAATTAAAAATTAACATGCAAGTTTAGTTCACGTCACATAGTCTTTAGTCGTTTAGTAGACAATCATCTTTACAAGTGTAGTTTGGTAAATTTGAGTAAACTCTTGCAATTGGTTTATAGTTTATGGTTTGTTTTCAGTATTAAAATATTATGCCTTTTAGATTTATCAAATTGTACAAAAAATCTGATAATTTTATGTTTTTATGTTGTCAAATATTAGGTCTTTTAGATTTATCAAATTGTACAAAAAATCTGATAATTTTATGTTTTTATGTTGTCAAATATTGGTTAATTCACATTGAGAACTAAATCTAACGTGTACATTCAAGAAAAATAAATGCAAAAGCAAAAACAAGCTTGGTTCGTAGGTTATTTAGCTCTGTGTGCATAAAGAAATATATGCTAAAAGCCATTCAAGTTTCTCCCATAGTCAGATTTCAAAACATCTATAAATTATCTTACAATCATGATGAACAGATTTGGTAATTCGTTTTGCACATTCTGGGTGTGGCTATTTTCTACAAAATTGAACCATAATTGTTAAATTATGGCCTTTTCAGGCTAAAAATATTTAAAATAAATTTTTTCTTTGCCTCTCATTCAAAAACCCATTAAGATATATGCTGATCGAAATGGTGAATTTGTTTATCATGACTTCAAGATAATTTACAAACGTTTTGAAATTCTAGCACTAAAGCTGACAATGAAGAAGAAAAATTGTCAGATTTTTTGTACAATTTGATAAATCTAAAAGACCTAATATTTGAGAAGCGTTTTAATTCCGTTCTATTAATCGTATAAATCTAATAGGTAATGTGGCCGAAGCGCCAGTCCTATCCAAGCCGCAGCCTTACATCATTTCCCAAAAAAATCA